CGTTCTTCTGCTTGCATACGTGATGACGTGTTCTTTTCCTTCGCTGTCATATTGAGCTAATACAGCTCCTAATCTGAGTCCAGAGGCATCAGTAAATAGAGTGAATGGCTGTGAAAAGTCTGGGTAAGCAATAATAGGTGGTGAAATAAGATGCTGCTTTAGTGTGTCAAACGCTTTCTGTTGCTTTTCCATCCAAATATAAGGTTGATTTTTCTTAAATAATTTATGGAATGGTGCTGCTATCTTTGCAAAATCTTTGATGAAATGTCTGTAATATGAGGTGAGACCAACGAAACCGCGTAATGATGTAAGATTGGTAGGCACAGGAAATTCTTTAACTTTTTCGATCTTTGCTGGATTCGGTCAAATACCTTCTTTTTCGATGATATAACCTAGGAATGAAAGTTGATTTTTGGCAAAGTGACATTTGTCTGGTTGTAATCATAATCTGACTTGTCGAAGTTTGTTCAAAGCTTTTCAAATATGTTGTAGGTGTTTATCAAATATTTTCAAATATATTGTAACGTCATCCAAATAAACAACAATAAATTTTTCAGTGTATTCTTTAAATATTCGGTTCATTAGTCTTTGAAAAGTGACGGGACCATTAGTTAGGCTGAATGACATGACATTGAAATGGAACAATCCTTGATTGGTAATGAATGCTATCTTTTCTTTATCTTTCGGGTGCATTTCAACTTGCCAAAAGTCGCTTGCGAGATCCATTGTAGTAAAGTATTTAGCATTCTTAAATGAATCTAACAATTTGTCGATTCTTGGAAGAGGATATCGATCTTTTTTAGTGCTTATTGTATTGTAATTTATTGCGATCATCAGGAAAACACCGAATGATCTTGATCCAAAAAATCCCCAACTTAGCTCTGACAATTTTTGATACAAACCTAGATAATATTCTTGTAGGAATTGATTAACAGAGATTGAAAGTGAACTAAGATCGTATAATAGAGTATTAACACATTCTTGATGATCAACGTTATGTGAACTTGCCGTGTTTGAACTTGTGAAGGGAAGGAGATTATTTCGCGCATATATACCAAAATGCTCAATGAAATTACCCCAGAATTCTTCGCTACGATGGGAGGGATTCTCCAATGTATGAAAATAATAACGATTTACAGCATCGGTAGCTTTTTTAACGGCATTTGGATTATTGAGCTTCTCGAGATGTATTAAAGATCGACCATTCTTGTCAGTGACGCATTCCGGCTCGACAATATACCGAAACCTCACTAATTCTTTTAACGAACGAAAACTTTCTCTTGTAGAAATTATGAGCTGAGCCTTTGCCTTTCGAGAGATACGTTCGGTTGTTTTACTTAGAAAATGAACAGAACCCGGAGTCCCCGACTGATCTTGCGAATTTATACTACTTCTAACTTCCATTGCATGTTCGAGTTTCTTCCATTTACGACGGAGACGCTGACGTACATCTCTTCTTGTAAGCGGTTCTTTCATCCCCATCCATTTTCCGAGAGAAAGCCACAATTCTCGATTTAAATCACGCTTTCGACGCATCACTTTGCCGGTATGGTACCCTGCAATTATCTCATCGATGATAAGTGTTAGAAAATCAGATGGGATCTCAGGTATCTCGACAGAACTTGTCAATCTCAATTCCCGAACTAATGTTTCGATCAATAATTCTTCAACCGAAACCTTTTCACGAGTTTTATCTTTTTTTGATGATATACGATCCGACGGACAAATAGGAACGCTTTTCCACTCCCGTTTGATATATAAAATTTTATCTTCTGTACATAGACCGCGAGACGCATATTGAGTCCGGTGCTAAATAGATAAAGTCCGATAGGATTAATAATAACGAAATCGGTAAAGATAGCTATAGTTTTGGATAAGTCATACAACAGATTTGTCCTTCAACTTATTTTTTTTGCGGATTGATGAACCTCCCAGAACAAATTATTGAGGCATAATAACCCTGTGTCTATTGCACCACATATATACTTCGTATATTCAATAATAGTCTGGAAAGGCAGACCTATCAACACAAAAACAATCGTAGCAAAAAGGAACAAAATCTTGATTCAAGTCTTGGATAAATACCCGGTTTGGGTCAAAAATAATATCGCTTATCGACAATGGTGTAGTTGGTATCGGCATGTTACGTTCTGCTGGTAAGGTCTCATCGAATGAAAATGTCCCTGCTTCTAAATTTTGTATTTCGAAAGAAATGGCTTTTCGTGTCTCCTTTTCGAGCCTATGTTTTCTATTATAGCGAGCACTACGTGACAGTTTCTTTTTTTGTGGTTCATCGGTCGGTACGCATGTCGGAGAAGTAGTGTTTGACGAAGTTTCGTTTTTTCGCTTTACCGAATACATGTTTATCATAATAATAGCGGAGCTAGACTCAAAGGTTGTCTTATTTTTATTAGCCAAAAGCAACACTATTCAACGAGCCGTTAGGTTTTTTATTCCTAGAGCCGAGTCTTACTCACTTGCAAAGCAAGGGCACTTACGTGCCAGAAGAATAGCGTTTGTGTCAAAGACACTGGGCTCCGCCCATACTTTCGCGAAAAAAAAAGAAGCGTGGGTGAGTAACCGTTGATTGGTAGGGGCATATATATACGACGATCAACCAATCAGTTAATAGTGCGCCAATCACGATACGCGAATAATAAAGGTTGAAATATACTAATGACCGAAGCGCCAATGCGCGTATTGCGTAATTCAATTTGTTATGCTTTGTATTTCGCAGTTTCCTATGGAAGGAAAAGTTAATCGGATGGATCAATAACCGAAATCATACAACTGAAATTTCTGTCACGTGAGGACGAGACCTGCTTGCCTTACTATCATATCGCTACGAAATAAATTTATACAACCACCAAGGCTATCTTTATTGAGATAAATATGTGTCAGAGTTACTAGCTCCGCTATAAAATATAAGATATAAAAAAATACATATAACGAAGTCTAGTTATCGTCTCGTGGAGTAGAAACTGTAGTACTATCTTCCATTTGCCTTTGCGATGTGGCAGTAGGTGCATGGTGTAGTAAAGATAAGTTAGTAATTATTATATTACGTAAAAGCAAAAGGGTTTCCACAAAGTTAGTTACTACATCTTCATCTGATATTCGCACAGGAATTTTAGCCGATTGAATATGATAATATTTATGAATATTAACTTTATCCCTGACAAGAACATTCAGATGTAAGGTATCGCCTGCTATTTGTACTCCAACTATTCCAAATTGATCTTTATCTGGATTAAGAGTTTTTCGCGTCCAATATAATCCATCATTAGTCTCACGCCATAACTTTATCTCATCATCAGTCTTTTTTTGTAAACTACAAATTAAGCGAGAACATTCAACATACATAAGCTCAAAGATTACATCCAAATGTTTTACCGCTAACATAATATCTGGACGTCTTCCCATTTGCCTATCTCTTTTCCTATCAGCACTAGCAATACTCTGTCTTTCCGAAGTACTAATAAATGAAGACGTCCTAAAAGGAAGATTTCTCAATACAGTTCGAATAGCCAATACAATAACAGTAGATTGATAAGTTCCTTCATTTAACGATTTTGATACTTCGGAATCAAAGGCTGGATTATTCCAAATATCCTCTAGAGTATTAAAAATTTCTTTTACAACGTATGTGATTTCTTCTTCGGATTCTTTCCATGTCCCATCGTGAATTAACTTTTTTGGTGATCTATTATAATAATTATGGTTGGAGGTATTCGATACAAATTTTCTACACATGACTTTAATTTTTGGCATAAGTGTAGGTTTCATTAACCGAGCTGGTTTCTACACAGATAATTAAAATAAATGAAGTATATAGTTTTTTTTATTGAAAACCATATTTATCTATTAATAATTACACACCATAAATGCTTTTTTTAGATGTCCAGGTAATTTTTGTACAAGAGTTGACGTGTCGCTAATAACTTGACTGGCTAAGGGGTCTTTCCAAGTTAAATCGTGAATCGGAATATTATTTACATCAGAATATAGACGTTGATAAAGTGGAGAAGTATCTTTTCCGAGTTTTCTTTTCAAGTTATTTATATTATTTTTAATCTGATCCGAAGTAAGTGGTTTCTCCACATCCGTCTTAATTGCTCCCATATCATATAAAGTACAAACACCTCCAAAAGCACTATTAAACTAAGGTAAAAAATATAATACGTTAGTTTTCAAAATATAGAAAAATTCATCATTAAAATAATATATATTATCAGTGCATATGCAAAGTTAACATCTTCGTGTGGCCATCACGCTGACGAAACTTTGTGTGATACTGAATAACAACATAATAACTTATGCTCTAACACACCCCGACCGTGCAATAACCTTTTCACATAACAGGTTAGTAGAGTGAACTACAATACTGCATAACAGTCTATAGCTTATACACCCCTCTATTATGCGCAAGTTTTATTGGGGGCCGATTGAATGGGTGTGAATAACATAAGCAATACGCTAAAACTATATAGCCTATTTATTCAGTATTTCCTTTATAAATAGATCACACAATATCATCATATAATAGAATCTAAAAAATCCATATAAAACTTTAACTAACCTGCGGGGAAATTCGTAAAATTCTTAATTGGCGTGATGAACCTTCCATATATACATTGCTAGCAGAAGCTACGACTCGATCTATAATTGATCTTAATTCGTTTTGCGGAATCCAGCGGTCTTCTTTCATTCCAAGATAAATAACTGACGTAGCATTTATTTGGCGTTCTTCGGCAGTTGTCAAAAACTCGTAAATGATGTTATATAAATCAGCAGACATATTGATTAGTTGAGTTCGAAGAAATAAAAACGGTTATATCACAAGTAAAAAACGACGAATAACCACAACGTAAATATACTGTCCTTTTAAAACATTTTTTTGTCTTATTTAGGTATGAGAATAGTAGGAGTGTGAAATGCAAGACGAAAAAAATTTCACAAAGAAAATGCATATCTCATGAGTTAACCATTCGGGGTTGGATTTATAGCGGAGCTAGTGTCACAGACACATATGTTAACAATCGGTAGGTTACACGATTAAATCGTACATGCTGATTTTCGATCATATGAGTCGGAGATTCTATGCTCCGCATATTAGATGCTAATGATTTACAACATATTATTGGTTATTTATTCGTTATAGCAGAACTACGAAGGATGTGTCCATACAAAAAAAATAACAAAAAAATGATCGAAAATATTTATATATCAGTAGCAAAACCACAGTCTTTGACTTAAAGACACTAATTCCGCTATTCAGTCTCTTCATTTATCGATTCCATATTAGAAAATATTTGACTATCTCCTATATCATGCATACTAATATCACTTTCGTTTTGAGACGAAGGTATATTGCCAGAAACAGCTTGAGGAGATAATGTTTCAATCGGAGGTAGAAGAATACTAATATTTTGCTCAGAATTTCTCATATCTGGAATGTTTATATGAGTCAAAGACTCTATGTTCCGCATATTAGTGTTATTATTATCACGGGTTGAAGTGGGATAGGGCGAATGTCTTTGACTCCTCCTACTAGATAGAGATGGGTTTATTTGTCTAACGGGAGAAGCAGTACCCAATACATGTTCAATTTCCTCAGTAGATAGTGCAGGTGTATTATTTCCCACAACTCTATTTCGTCTACGGTTAGAACTGTTCATATTACGGATTCTATCAAATTCATCTTCAGGCCTCTTCCAAAAATGTGTACGAAATTCATCAAAATATTGCGCACCAGTTCGACTTCTTCGTGCTCTTCGATTCCCTGCCATATACTCACACATTGACTAATCATAGATTTAAGCATTTATTAGCATGAATTGAGTTACGTAAAAATATCTTGATCAAAATGAAATATTAACTTACATTGTAATCCCGAACAAGATTCATAAATTTTTCTTTACATTGATATCCATTAAAGTTCGTATTTTGATCTCGATTAATTCTAGTTGCAATGCTATTCCAAAATTCAGTTCGATGTCTTCCAAGGTTATGGTATTCTATATTTCTATTTCTACGTTCATCAATAAGGATACGGATTTGAGCATCTGCCCATTCAACCATTTTTAACGATATTTGAAAATGAAATAAAGATTTTGTATTGCTTTTATAGCAGAACTAATATCATATAAAAAAGCAGATTAAATATTGTATAACGCAATATCTCAAATATACTTCAACCGTACTTCAACTACACTTTAGCAATATTAAATTATAATATATGTGCCTTGGCACTAACTCTGCTATTGTATAGTTAATTATTTTATCAACCACATTCCAACCGCACTTCAACCATACTTTAACCAAATCCAAAATTCCAATTTATTATTTATAGACACATAAGAAAAAAATTTATCGTGTTTATATCATATCTTCATCACACCTATATTATATCTTAATTACGAGTATAATGGAGTTAGTGTTAAGACAAATAATTAATTAGAAAAAAATTATACATCTTGGACCAAGCGATCTATCATTGGAAAATTAAATAACATGTAGATCTTTAGAAACGACTTTTTGAGTTAACTCCCAAAATAGATCATACTATATTCACTGGAGATGATCAGCTTCTTAATATAAGTGGCGAGTAGGATGTATTTATATTAATGCATTAATAAATAATGAGAAAAAAATAAATGCTTGTTATCTAGTAGATATACCTTATTTTATTCATCTAATTTTAATGGGGTATCCCAGCCCAGTCTAATTGCTAAAGGATCATCTATTGTCTTAGTAAAATCAAAAATCACAAATTCCCGATTTCGCAAATGCTTATCAATAATCTTAGATGTCTTTTTTGGATTATCTGTATATTGATGTATGATTCTACTAATATTGTCTCTACTACCAGATCCCTGAAATAATACAAGATGACTCCAGATTTTCACATATAATTTTAGGAGTTTGTGTATATTTTTGACTCATATATATAGATGAAATATTTTGATGCCAGTGTTTTGATTGGAAATTTATATAATTTCCATAATTTTCATAATTTCTATAATTTTCATAATTTTCATAATTTTCATAATTTTGATAATTAACATAATTACAGTAATTATCATCATTTACAACAATTACCGTAATTATCATCATTTACAACAATTACCATAATTACCATCATTTATATAGTATCTATTATTTATCAACTTATATAATTAATTATAAATGTAATATCTACTAGTAGAAAATATTTATTATAAATAAAGCAATATTGAGGCTTTGAAAAAAGGGCATCAATTGATCAATACAAAAATCTAGCTAGTCAATAAACTGTCTTTGTTTATTGTTAATGAAATTTGTACACTTAATTGATTAAAAATAACAACTTATTAAAATACTTATATTTATTGCGCACTATTGGACAACTGCCAAAGTTGCTATAGAATATCAGTATTGTATTGCTATAAAACTGTCACACCCTAAGTAGATATAATATCTATTAGTAATAGTGAGAGCCTATCTATAAGATAGAAGAAAATGTACTGCATGGTGATCCTGAAGTATACTAATTACAACAAGATTGAGTAACTGTAAAAATACCATCATTAGACGTTGGTTGAACACATACGTCACGATTATACCTACCAGGAGCCTGATTGTGACAATGCTCTCTCTTTCTCTAACAAATACTATTATTATCCTACTTGTTTCTTTAACAAATACTCCTAGCTTAAATTACACTCCTGAAGAAAAAAGAGTCCATTTGAGATTCCTGAAGAAATAGAGCTGTTTTCACATGAGTTATTTATATAATAAATAATATAATTTATGTAATAAATAAAATATTATAATTAGCACGTGATTTTTAAATGTGATTTTAAAGCAAAACTTAGAAATTTATTAACGTTAAATTTAATCAAGATCATTAATATCATTAATAACTGGAATCAAAGAAGCCTCTAGCTTCTCAATAAAAGCTTCTGCTTTTTTAGCATCTTTCTCTTCAACTCTAAAATATCTATCACGTATTCTTTCTGTTAATTCATTCATAACAAGTTGTCAATCTTCTGCTTGTTTTTCTTCTTTAGTTTCTTCAGAAAATTTGATTACTGATTCTTGTCCTTCATATATTTCAAAATCACTTTCTTCAAACATTTCCTGAAATGTTCTCCAAACTGTAGCATTTAATAATCTAGTATTACCGTATATGTATTCGTGAAAGATATGTTTGTATGGTAACATATATCGATTGCAGAACAAATGATCACAATCGATTGAAGTTAGTCCTGGTGCGCACTTGCCCTTTGCCAGCCTGTCCATCACTGCACAAGCCTCTTTAACAAGCATTTTTTGTATTGGAAAGGGAAATTCATGTATTTCTTCAAGGATTTCATCTTCTATGCCATAGGCAGATATTTTCTTAGTGCGAAAGTCAAAGGTAACAGTTTCAGAATCAGCTTGTTTCTTGTGATCGAGCGCAACGATTTTGTGAGAGATATCTAATAAAAAAATAATTTAAAATGATGCGAGAAAAAAAAGAAAGATTAAATTTAAAAAAAATAAAAAGATGATATGAGAAAAATAAAGATTAATAAAAAAGATAATGGAAACTTACCAATCAATCCATATAAAGAAGATGTTGTTCTTTTTAGTTCGCTGTGATAAGACTCTAATGCATTTGTAGAAGTAATCTGGAGAAGAAGAGGAGAGTGTTAACGAGTTCAAAGAGCCCATTGATGAGTATTTTTCATATAGTTTTTTTATATATGTATGAATAGTGGGAACTGGACAAATATTAATAGCATTTTGAATTAGTTGCTCACAACCGATTCTCGTTGTTTTGTGCATTGCTAAAATCATAGCTTTCCAGTTTTTTTGTCATAAATTTTCGATATCCACGTCTGCATAACATGAACTGTACAGAGAATTATTTCGCATTCTTGCTCACCACCACAAAGATCAGTAAAAGCTTGTTTAATACTGTTAGCTTTCGAGCTACTCTGATCCAGAAGAAAATATCGAGGAGCCCAACGAGAACATTTATTTCGAATGATCTGTAATGCTTTGGTTATAGTTTTACTATCCTCATTACTTAGAAGAAAATGTGCGTCAATATCTCAACATCCACACCTATCATGAACGTACAAAGTAAAAAGACACCAATCATGCTTGTTGGTCTTATGTGTGAAGTCCATTAGGATTAGCCACCCATAACGTTGAAGTTTTTCAAGTTGTCCAGGATGCACGAAAACAATACTTTGGATGAACCACTGGAAAATATCTTCAATATTAATAGATTGCTGAGAAATATGATATCATTCGACGTGATAATCTTGATTCTTTAGATACGATACAGCATTCAAGATATCTGGTTCCAGCTTGATGTCATCGACAAGATGAGCCTCTATAGGTCCACGTAATTTATATTTTATATTTGTAACCTCTCTTCATTTTAAATTTTGAACACTATTTTCAAGATTTAACTTACTGGCATACTTTTTAACAGCACCAACAATTGCGACTGGTGAATAATTTTTGACAGCTTCTTCCTTGACCAAGATTCGGACAGCTTATGAGCATTTCAATTTATCGATTTCTTTGAGAGGATGTATATGTTTTGAAGAATTTTTAAAGTTTTTGATTTGAATGATTTTGGTGGAAACTAACTGTGATACTTTAATTTTTGCATGACAAAGATCGGGTAGCCAAATTATTATCTTACGACGTTTTTCAACATCAGCAAATTTCTGATATGGTTAGAAATCGATTGCCAACCATATTCATTGGCAATCGATTATCAACACCCCCACCAATTATTATCGATTGTTGATCAATCGATAATAATCAGTTTTTTTATTATCGTTTACAAACGATAGCAATCGTTTGTAA